CCGTTTGCAAAGCCAAACTTTGATTCTTATATAGAAAACTCCATATTTTTTTTTTTTTTTTTAAAACCCCTTCTTCTATAGAAAACCCCCTTTTTACATAGAAACCCCCTCTCTCTAGTACTTGGGAGTGTGCAGCCGTCGGGCACTTCGCACGTCCGTCTGTCCTGCCGTCGCCCACACAGCTCCTTCCCGGGAGAGGGGCTGAGGATGGGCTTTCTCTGCTGCCTGCTGTGGACTGGCTCCGACCTGGGGCAGCACACGTAAAAACTCCCTCGTTCTCAGGGTTAAATCCACTCTGCACAGGGATGCTGCCCTTATAGTCCCAGTTGTTCAATTAACATTGCTATAAAATTAAATAATTACTTTCTGCCAAGCTGACTGAAGACATTCCCCAGGGCCGAGCGAGGCTCGGGCTGGTGCTCTTCTCAGATGCTCTTTGAAGATATTTTTGTACCCAAAGAGAAGAAAGAGAAGACCCCACGGATGGAGGTGAGCCCTGGGGATGGTGGAGAGCCTGGTCATGCCTGAGCTACGGTGGGGTTTCACATGGGACGTGGGACAACTGCATGGGAAACGGAGATTTTGGGCTGCGTCTAAGCTGGGGAGGGGGGGCAGATCCTTCCCCAGTGTTGCTCTGCTGTGAGGGCAGGTCCAAGCGGGGTGTTTGGCCTCATCTAGGACAAATCCTGCCCGATGGCTGAGCTCCCCTCCCCGGGGAGCCTCAAGGCACCCATGGTGCTCCCGGCATGGTGCAGCCGGGCTTTGCAGCCACGTGTTTTCCAGCAGAGCTGAGTGCGTCTCCCCCTCTGCCTCTGCCCCCACCGGGGACCAGCACCCCGAACTCCCCTATGGACTCCTCATCCAAAGCATTAAGTGACCGCTTCACCTCCAGCCCCATGGCACTGACCATCTTCAGCAGGGTGGAAGCCCTTTGTGGTGGCTCTGCTTCTCCAGCCACAAAACCCCTCCATGGCATCACTCACGTTGGACTCTCCCGCGGCGTCTAGTCCCCTTCGGCTCCTGCCATGGCACTGCGAGCTCCCGCCCCGAGCCCGCGCATTGCTCGGGAGGTTTATTATTAGAGATAGATTTGATTAATGCCTGGGCTATGCGTTTCCTGGGGTTTCCCCTTATCCCTTCGATGCAAATCTGCCGCACGCACCGTGCGTTGCATTGGCTCGCCGGGGGGTCCCGGGCTCGAGGGGGGCTG